TGTAACTTTGAAGTTTATTTTGATTATCTTAAACATACCACTATGCTATTATCGACTGAATCATTTGAATTTGAGAATGTTTATGATCAGTTTGGATTTTGATGGCTGCGAATTTATTTTTCAATTTGGTGTTGGAAAATGATCAATCATTATGTGTAAATTTGAGAGCAGTTAAATATTGAAAGGTTGGATAAAATTTAATGACATACTTCTTCTATCTCTTTTGTCTCAAATTATTTGTTCCTTTAAAATATTAATGAGATTATTATTTTTTTTACTAATTTATTTTTATTTATTGTATTTTAAATCATGTAATTATTTCACTATCTATTATTAATAAAGTTATTTTAGTAAATGACATTTGTTTTATTATTGAAATCATCACAATTAATCATTATCTTAAAAAATATGAAAATTTTAAAATAAGTGGAATAAATTATTAAAATTAAGTATCGGCTTTCATCCAACTACAATTTATAACAACTTCTGAAATTTATATACGTATAATAATGTGAATGACACACCAAAATTTAATCCAAAAACTTAAACATATGCATATGCAAATCTAAACCTAAAGCATATGAAACATATACTCTCATACTGACTTGAACATATAGAACATAAACAAAAAAAAAGGAATGAAGATGTTGAAGAATACCGTACTTCGAAGCTGAAGAATCTTCTGCACGTAAGAAATGAAGATGTTGAAGAGTACCATACTTCGAAGCTGAAGAATCAAATGAACAAAGAGGGTGAATATTTGAGCATATACAACATAAACCAAGAAAAAAGGAATGAAGATGTTGAAGAGTACCGTACTTCGAAACTGAAGAATCAAATGAACGAAGAGGGTGAAGATTTGAGCTCCAAATGAATAGATACGAAGAGGGTAAAGACTACGCTACCATTTTCGTCTCTGGCTCGCTTGTTCTCCTAGGGCGTCTTGTGAAAGAAATACAGAATAAGTTTTGTTTTAACTTATCAGTAAACCCTTTAATCACGGTTGGACAACCCAACTGTAGTGGAACTGTAAGTCTTCTAACAACGGTTGGTTTACTTCACTGTTGTAAAATCATTTACAATTTATTTTTTAAATAATGAATTTAAGTGACACACGTTTAATATACTCTAAATAATGGAAAAAAATGTAGTTGATGGGATTCAAAGCTTGCTACACATCATTTATTACTACGGTGTTTTAAGACAATCGTCACTAAATTACTGTTTATAAATCCAGCTACTTTCAGGGAGCGAAAATTTTAATCTATTACAATGGTGTATATGAATCAATTGTAAACCTGTGTTGTTGTTTGCGCGTTTCGTAGTAGTGTAAGCACATTTAAAGCCATTGATGTTGAAATAGTGTTAGAGTCTTCCATCTCAAATTTCTTGAGAAGACCTAAACAATACTTTGTTTGACTTATGAAAGTCCCTTCTTCGCCTAGCTTGATTTGCAATCCTAAGAAGTATGTTAACTCTCCCATAAGTGACATCTCAAACCCCCCTACATCAACTAGCAAATTCTCAACAAAGTCATTCATTAGTGGACCTAAAAATGATATCATCTACATAAATTTGAACTAACATAATATGCTTTTCCTTATGTCTTATAAAAAAGTGGTTTTGATTTTCCTACGGTTGAATCCAAGTTTGATAAAATAAATTCAATGAATATCTCATACCAAACTCTAGGAGCTTGTTTGAGACCATAGAAACATAAAAACATGATTAGGATTATCGTGATCCTCAAAACCTGGAGGTTATGAGATGTACACCTCTTTATTTATATGGCTATTTAGAAAATCAAACTTAATGTCAATTTGATAAAGCTTAAAGTCCAGGCGACAAGCGAATTTCAAGAGGAGTCTAATAGCTTCAAGGTGGGCTACAAGAGCATAAGTTTTCTCATAGTCTATACCTTCAGCTTGATTATATCTTTTTTCCATTAAACTAGCTTTATTTCTAGTATTTATTTTGTTCTCATCCATCTTGTTCCTAAATACTTATCTTGTGCCAATTACAATTTTATCAACCGGACGTGAAATAAGGTCCCAAGTGTCATTTAATTTAAATTGAATTAGTTCTTCTTGCATAGAAAGTAACCATCCTTCATCAAGTAAGACATCAGATGTAGATTTAAGTTCAATTTGAGAAATGAAAGCGGAGTACTTACAGAAATTGTTAACCTTTGACATAGTATTTACTCCCCTTTTGATGTCTCCCTTGATTTGATCTAACGAATGATCCTTTGCAATTGTTCAATCTCGAGGAACCTGGTTCGAGGTATCTTGTTTGTCATCCTCATATAAGCTTTTCTCTTTAACTTCTGTAGTGTCCCTATCCTTTATTGTGGATCAGGATCCTCTTTAGAACTTTCGATGTTGATCAATCTTTTCGTTATTACACCTAAAACATCATAATAAATACCTTTACCCGACTTTTGGGATGAGGACTCATCAAAAGAAACGTGAATTGACTATTCTACATAAGCAATTCTATGGTTGTAAACCCTATAAGCTTTACTTTTAGATGAGTACCCTAAGAATATACCTTCATCAGATTTTGTATTGAATTTTCCAAGGTCATCTTTTCTGTTTTTCAAAATAAAGCATTTGAAACCGAAAACTTGAAAATATGAAATATTATATTTTCTACCCTTAAGTCTCTCATAGGTTGTCTTCTCTAGGATGGATCATACGATCGCACTGTTTAAGATGTGGCATGTGGTGTTAATCACATGTGCCCATAAATACTTAGGTAATCTCATTTATCATAGTTTGTGCTAGTTCTTCCAAAACACGATTTTTACGCTCTACAACGCCATTTTGTTGCAGAGTTCTCAGACATGAGAAATTGTGAGTAAAACCATTTTCGGTGCAAAAGTTTTGAAAATGGTGGTTAATGAATTCTCCATCATGATCACTATGGAGAGTGATGATTTTAAAACCAAAAACATTTTGAACAACCATGGGAGGGATATCCTAGTGCTTCCCTTTACATAGGATAGTTGGGTTCCTTCCAAGGTTGCAGCTTTTTCCTGTCAACTCTTGTTGGATAGGTTCCTCTCTAAAGAGAATATGTTTAAACACTAGGTTATTATTGATCTGGATGTTCTTTTACTATATTTTGTATGGGGACAGTCTAGAGTCGGTATTCATTTGTTTATTACCTTTAGCTTAACTTCTACTATGTAATATATGATCTTTAAGTGGTTGACTTTTCAGGTGGTCATTTCTAGGGAACCTAGGTTTCTTTTTGAGGTTTTTTATATCTTTAGGTTCAAAATTAAAAGTTGGAGAGGTTTTCTATGATTTGACTTATTATGGTATGGATCATTTGATTAGTTTGTAATGATAAGTTGTTTTCTGGTTGTCAAATAATGTAAAACAGTTGGAAGAGAAAAGTATTTTTCGGGTTGGTATTGGTTTCTAAACGGGTCTTCATTAAACTTAAACTTCAATAGCTGATCAATAATTCGAACCTGCTTCAAGAGGTGTTCGGTGGTTTTTGGTTTTCTAAAGATTTCCCTAGTCTTTGGTTTGTGGTATGGTCGTTTGAGCTCTAACTAGGTTTCATGATGGGTGGTGTTGTGGTGAGCGAGTGCTCTTTCTAGAGTTTTCTCTTTTAGTGGTTGCTCATTAACTGTAGTTTTTATGTTGTATTTTCTTTTATGCTTATCTTTTGATTGTTTGCGTTCCATTATTTTGGCACTTCTTATTTTGTTCTTTTTTTTTGTTGTTGATAAACAACAAATGTATTATGAGGAGTACTCAACCCTTAATGCAAGAGGAAGACACCAAAATAACCAAAACCAACAGGAATCCTAAGAACTCTAAAACAGAACAAGAACTTAACAATACAAAGCTGAAGGATTTGCTACCCACTCTTCCCAATGGATACCCCTACCTTTTCTGTTAAGAATAATGGACCATTCCCAAGTGGCTCTAATAATATTATCCCAACAATTCCAACCTGCGACTTCCTCCGACTTGAACAAAACCGAATTCCTCTGATACCAAATATTCCAACAGACACAAGGGTTTATTCCTAACTCATATATATTTTGTCGTCTTTTAAAAAAATGATAAAAATAAACTATAATTGAATTGAAGGCTTATTCAGCTAGTAGATTAGTTTATCACAATCAAAATAATACTTGCACTATCTTTCTTTCATAATTGGAATTTACATAAACTAGGTGTAAAAAATTCTTTCTCAGTGGTATTTGCAAGGATATGTGTAGACGATTTCCTAGGAGGAATCAAACACGTATGAAATAGTGTAAGAAACTTACTTTTCTTCTGTTAAGGAATGAAGATTTATGAAATATTGAATTTGATTTCTTGTGAGAACAATATTTGGTCAAACTTATCACCTTTCATACCGAACTCTAGATTACTAAAGCCTATTTTCTCTAAAAACTAGAGGATAAAAAAAAAAGTTTAATTTTACCGTACATCAAAATAATCCCACTTTAATCTCAACCAACACACTCAATTCACAATATTATGATATATGTTGATGACATAATGATGACTCATATTCGTTTAGAATAGTTTGGATATGAATTTTACTTAGAATAAACAATTTCCATGTCAATAGCAAATATTTTCTATATGCTAACTAGACAATTTTTCCTAAGAGAAAGCCGATGTAATCCTTTAATTTTTCCTAACCAGACAATTTTGTAGTATTTTCTATATGTCAATAGCAAATATTTTAGTTAGGCATCAAGCAAACACAAGGGAATTCTGTCTCAAATATAGAAAATATAGAATGACAGAAAAGTATGTATTGAATAATGATATTGATATATATTGCTACATGAAGAGTTATATATAAGTTACAACATGCTTATATAGGCAAATATCACATGACAACTAACAAGTTTTATCTCTACTATCAACTAACTTACTAATTTTATTTCTAATATGAACTAATTAACTAACTTTTTCTCTATAATAATTTCAACTTTCTCCATCAAATAAATGTTAACCCTTCTAACCCTGAGAGCCTATTAATGGTGGTAACATGTTGACGTCTCTCAAATGATCTAAATAGACATCAGATTCCCATAACTGGAGATTCTCCGAAAGAAACAATTGATTTTGAGGAAAATGATCATCATGCATTACTTCCAAAGGATTCCATTCTGAAGAGACCAGAAGTGGCGATAGCGGTCGCAATGGTGGTGACGGCCATAACATATCTTCTTGTTCACTTGAAATGTGGTTATCAAAGTTAAGTATTATAGAAGAGTCTGATGACGAAACGGGTTCAGAAATTATGTTTGATTGAAAATAGTTTTTGCAAGTGTGATGGCCATAACATGTAGTCTTATACAATGGAGGATTCTCTTGAGTTCTTTGAACATGTTTCATTGCTTTACAACGTTGATCGCTGTGCGTACACCTAAAGTAGCTCCTGCATATACATGTATAATCAATTAATTTTGATTTATATAATGTTTTAAGCTTAATTTCTATTATAATAACTTATAAATTTTTTTTACTAGACTTTATTCTAATGTGTGGATGTAGATTAAAATTATGAAATTGATGAATACCTGACGAATTTGGAATTTGTTATCTTTTTTTGTCCATATTTTCTCCATGTATGACCATCATCAATCAATATTGAGGTGGTTTTTTCCCATGTTGGTGCAGATAACCTTAATTATATCAAGACAAAACTATGAGTTAATTAAGGATGATTTTAATCAATTATTTTCTTAATATGTAATTAAGGATGTTTTATTAATCTCAATCAAGCTGTTGTTGAGAGAGTGGAAGTAGAAGGAAGTGACAAAGATGAAGGATTTAGGAAGTAAATACACTAATTTATTTACACCTAGGGTTTTAAAAACAAAAAGAAAATTATACTAAGCGAAAGAGAAAATTTGCTAAACTGACAAAACTTCAAATGTCATCAATAGAGAAATAGTTAGACATAGATATTAATTCTTATAAGAAAAATTGGTATAAGACATAGATAATACTTCTTACTTTCTCTTTTTCGTTTCTTTTGGACTTTTTCTGTTGAGAGTTTTGAGTTGTTTGTAAGCTTCATCCAGATCCTCCTCCATCTTGTGGCAATTGGTTGAGAAAGAAAAACCTCTAGAGTCTTCTCTGTTATGCAATAACAAAAGTGTATTTGTGAATGATTTAAGTACCTCTCGAACAAGATCTTGAGCAACATCTTTAGGTGACACTTTGGATGAATTTGAGTTTGACCCTTTGATTTGTCTAATAATATTAGACTTATCATCAAAGGTAAGTACTTCTAGTAATTGATTTGCCATGTCACGTCCTCTAATAAGCTCTTCTTCCATTGCTTTTTTTCCATTGGTAGGAAACCAACCTAGATTCTCCATTATCTTTTTGTAAGTGAAAATTTGTGAACACTTTGCTAAAACTATAACTAGGTTTAATATTGGATATGAGAGATGTTAGAGAGAGTTACACGTCCTTTTATTCAACTCGTTCTTTGACCAAAGTTATCCATTTCATACACCTCAAAGTTATGTGTGGAGGTTAAACAATATATGAAATTTCCACGTAAAATAAGTGTGTGTCGTAAGAAATTATTGAAGCAAATTGTTTTCAACGTAAACACTATTATTAATTCAAATTAAAAGAACTTTCATTATTTTGAAATTTCGTAGACCTCACTACATGATTTAGACCCTACATAGATTTAAGTAAAAATCGTTTGAAGTTTACTACATTTCTCTTCAAAAAAGTATCTTGAAAAAAATATCTGAATGAATTTAATTCTTTTTTTTTCTAATTTTATTTTTATTTTTTCTTTGCAAATCGGTACAAACATAAAAATAGAAACATATTTAAAATAGTGACATTCAATATAATAATTATATATGATTTTTATTTGTATTTAAGACTATTGGTTTTTTTTTTTTGTATTTGTGACGGAAGAAGTAATATTTTCGTGAGAAACTTTAACATTAAAGGTCTTTTTAATTTTTTCCATGAAACGAAAAGGAAAAACAAACCACCTAAGTCTCATTCTTAGTACATATCTTTAAAAAAAAAATTTACATTAAATATTTATATTGTATTCGTATATATTATTTATCGTATTTATACGATAAACAATTTTTTTAAATAAAAAAATTATAAACGGAAACCTGTGCAGTTTGTGAACCGTATTCGTGAATAATATTTATAAATAGTAATTTTAAAATAAAGAAATAAAATTAATTAATAAATATTCAGATATTATAAATAATTTTTAACAATAAAAAAATTGATTAATAAAACGTAAAAAATTGATTATTAAAATTAGAAAGATAATCATACAATTTTATATTTTAAAAAATATTATTATAATATTTCATGCAATTTTATATTTTGATATAACATTGTAGTGTAGAAATATCATTTCCATTGTTAGTAATTGTTTAAAATGGAATTGTAGAAGTGAACTCATCATTCTAGAATCATGCTGCTGAGATCATAATTTTATACAGTAATTATATATAATTATATATAGAAGAAGACAATAATGCCCTTATTCATGTTGGGATTTTTTATACCCGCTATGTGTTTTCCATGTTTAATGAAACTAGTTAAGGGTAAATTGGGATATGTATATATGCATGCACAGACAAATGCCAGATTGTTAAATGATTCTTAATTTTTTATTCTTTTCCTGTTTGGTTATTCTTGTAATAATGTCATTTTTATTGCTATCATTTGTTGTTGGGTCAACACATAATTTATATTCCAGGACGACCATCCCATTTTTTTCAAAGTTTTGCTTAAGATATTTTAGCAGTTCATTTTATCTATGAATTAGTAAGTCATGCGTTCATATGAGTCTATTAATTTTAATTAGTATATAATTTAATTATATGTATTTGTAAATATGAATGATAAAATCAAGTTTGAAATACAAAGAGTTTATTTTATAAAATGAAGATTTTTAACTCTAATAACGTTTGATTAGTTTTAATAACCAATAACAATTTTTTAGTAACTATTGTTAAACTCTTAATTTTTAAGCTAATATTTTACAGATATATCTAAAAATTATAAACAATAATCCTTCAAAGTAAATCAATAACAATTACATGAACTTCTTCTCAATTTTTCCTCAATACCTCGAAATCCAATGCAGCTCTAACTCCATGTCAAAAAGAACGTCATATATATTCACACCATTTTTCTTTCGATATGACAGTTAGAATCAACGATATTTAATTCTTCAATATTGAAAAGAAAATAAAATAAATAGAGAAACTGAATAATTAACTCTTTAGTTCTCCTAAAAATTGAACGAAAATTAAATAAAATTAAAAGCATCCGATCTACTGTTAAAAATTCTACTATTTGCGGAACATAAAAACATTCATTGCATCAAGTAATAAAGCTTCAATACAAGTTGAGATATTAAATATAATTTAAATTGAATTATGTGATTTAAGAGGCTTTATGGTTTGTTATGTAGTTTGTTATTTTAGTATATATAAATAGACACTTTGTAATTCAGTTTTATTAATTCAATAATATTAATTTTTATTCATTTATTTTCTCTCTTTCTCTCTTCGCTAAAAGTGTTTCACGCACTAACAAATTGGTATCTAGAGCTCCGGTTAGATTCTTGATCGTGTTTTCAAGAATCATACGTCAGAGATTGTGTTTCCGGGATATTGGGTTATTGCTGACCAATCGCTGCAAAGATTAATGGTAACAAAAATTTACCAAACTCTCTTCCAACTCTTGACGACAAGAATTGGCTCCGATGGAAAAATATATTTAATCTCTATTTGACTTTCATGAAACCCTAGAAGTGGTTAAGAATAGTGTTCCTGCGCTTGGTGAAGATGCAACCGACGCACTGAGAACCGCTCACAAGAAGGCTAAGAAGAAGCATTGTAAAGCAGCGTTCTACATCCAATCGGCGGTTGATGTGGCTAATTTCGACAGAATATCTCATGCCGAATCGACAAAGGAGGCTTGTGATATTCTTGTCAAGTACTATGAAGGAGGTGAGAAAGTTAAGGTTGTCAAGTTGCAAACTTTGCGACGGCAATATGAATTATTGTCAATGGAAAAAGATGAAAAGATTGCAGACTATGTGTCGAAGGTGCAGAAACCCGTCCATTTCATGAAGGGTATGGTGAAACCCTGACCGATAAGGTGATAGTTGAGAAAGTAATGCGTATGTTGACCTCTCACTTTGATCACGTCATTTTAGATATTCAAGAATCCAACAATCTTGAAACCCTAAAACTGGAAGATTTAGTTGTTTCGTTGGAAGCGCGTGAGATTAGGATTGTCGAAAGGAAATGAGTTTAAGACTCGATACAAGCACTACATGCTCAATCGTGGAAGAAGAATGGTGGTTCCAACAAGTTCAAAGGCAAAATCGACAAGACTCAGGGTAAGAAATCTTGGTCGAATCCTCACAAGAATAAGATCGATGATAGGACTTCTGATTCCTAGAAAAGATGAGAAGGAAATTCCTATAAGAAAGACAAAGTAGAGAAAAAAGGTGTGTAGTGTTATAACTGTGAAAAATGGGGTCACTTGGCCGAGCATTATTGATACAGGAAAAACATGGGTTCGACAAAAGACAAGGACGAAAGATAAAACCTTGGCGTCAAGATTCAAATGATTCTAATGATATGGTGGTTATGGCTGCAGCTGCAGATGACCATGTCGAATCCAAGATCTGGTTCCTTGGCTCAGGCTGCCCGAATCACATGACTGGTCGAAAAGTATGGTTAGTAGATTTTCACGAGTCGAAGAAGAGCAAGGTCAAAGTTGTTGATAATAGCTTGTTGCAAGCAGAAGGTACTGGCAACATACTTATTCAAAGGAGCAATAGAGCAAAAGCCTCGATCAAAGATGTACTCTATTGAAGGTGAGAAAATACTTAGAAGGGGGGTTGAATAAGTATGTAGATAAAACTTAGTGTCATACCCCAAATTTGTCCTATCTTTTTCAAAATTCTCATTTGCCCGACTTTGTTTTTAATTTACCTCGCTTATACAGCGTAGCGTATTTTTCAGCAAAAATAACTTTTTCACTTTTTTTTGCCCAATAAAAGTGTGACACGTGACTTAGAGTTGTCCTTGAGTTTTTTTTAATTTTATTATTAGTCTATTTGTGTTTTCGTGTTTTCTTCTTTTTAAATTTTATTTATTTACAATTAGCGATATTTTAGTTTATGTTTTAAATATATATAGGTTCATAATATTAATTTTGTTTATTTTAAAGTTTTGTAAATGTTAGTTTTGTTATATTATTAATATTATTAATATTTAGGATTTAAGAAAATTGTTGGTTATTTAATAATAAGTAAATAATATTATTTTGTTTTAGTTTATAGTTAGTAATAGTTATATGGTTATTAGTGAATTTGTTTCTCTTATTTAATATTAGTCATTAGGATTTAGTTATTAATTAAGGATAATGAAAAGAAATAAAAAAAGAGAGAAGGATAATGGAAGATCAGAATTGAATTGACCGGCCCATCCATTGGAGGCCCAGATAAAGAGAGGGTCACAATATGCATAAGAGGGGAGAATGGAGAACCCTAATTTGGGGGGAATTACTGTTCACCGAAACCCTAAATCGGCCGCCCCCAAATTTAACCCCAAAACCCTAAACCGAATTCACTGTTCATCCCTCTAAAAAACCCCTTTTCTCTGCGAAAGCACGACCGCCACCCCCCAACTCTAACCCTAAATCCGTCGCCTACCTTCCCATCTCCGTCACTCTCTTTCACGATTTTCCACCGAAACCCTCTCATTTCTCCGGCGCCGTAACCTCTCACCATCATCATCGCCATCTTCTTCGACCTCGCTTCACACCGAAACTCATACCTTTCTTCACAAAACATTTCTCTACGTAATCTTCTCCTATCTCTCCATCATTCTCATCGCTCGTTTCCCTTAAGCCGAATCCCTCAAATATCTTTACAAATCATAAACCATGGCTCCACATCATAGCACGAAGATCACCTCAAATTTTCTCACGAAAATTAACTTCTGAACATGAAATTGGGGGAAATCTAGCAACATAAACTTAAAGTGAGATACAGAAATGTTACGTAGATGAAGAAACATTTTTCAAAATGTTGAAGGGATTGTGAAGAATACAATGAGGAAGGTACAACAACAGTTCTTCAACAACAACTTGAAGCAAGAACAAAAGCTACCGACATCAACGCCGACACACTCAACTTTTCAGCTCGCGGTGATGACTCGCAACTTCTGTAGCAACAAACCCTTGTGTTTCATCTACGGATTCAATAGAAGGTAGCACGACGCGTTGATTCTGCAATGTTCGATCAATACGGAGGTTCACGGTGAATCATTTTTTTAGTTCCAATGGATTTCACTAT